AAACTAAAACAGAAACAAAACGATCCCTCCCCCCCGAAAAACAACAACCCAGAAACAAAAACAAACCATGAAACAAAACCAAACCCTTTAATAACAAAAGACGTTAAAAATTACACACCCTCAACACGTATTCTCTTTTTAAAAAAAGTCATTCCGATAACACAACCAACAAAAAAGGCTGCGCTCGTCAGAAGCGCGCCAAAACACCATATCAATATCACATATCAGTATTCTTGTTGATTTATCAGCATTTGGACGAGACGCGTAGGGGGGTCACTTCGCAGCAAGACAACTCGTACGATTTCTGACCTTCCATTCGGAAAGGGAACTTTATCAAGACCGCTGGAACGAGCATAGCAATGTATTTCTATAGTTTACAGATTTATACAACAATAGCTCCGCAAATTAATTACACACCAAAAAGGTACGAAATCATTAGAAAAGCGATAAGCATACGTTATTTCTATTATTGTGACAGTTGCTTTTCTCAACAGCCCCTTTAGCACAGCTTAACGTTTTATTTGAATAAGATTACGGCTTTTAGCACTCATTATACACACACACACACACACACACACACACACACAAACACACACACACACAAACACACACACACGCACTCTCTCTCTCTCTTTCTCTCTCTCTCCCACACACACACATACAAGCACACACGCTTACATATTACACACATATTATACAAACACATGCACACCCACCAACATACAAACACACGCACACACAAACACACACACACACACACACACACACACACACACACACACACACACACACCAACCCATATACAAACACACGCACACACACACACATACACCCCTCCTTTTGCTCATTAAAATCTGTAGCTGAATTTGCTGTAAGTCTATGACATAAATAATTGCTTCACCTGCACGCTAAGATTTTACTTGCAAAGTTCTAACCTTTTTTTAAACATATTATTTACACAGTTGTCTCGTGTGTTTTCATCTAATCTTTGAACTTTTCAATATTTAAAAAAGAAGAAGAAAACACCACTCTTCAAGAATAAAAATAGAGTAAGACAAAACCAAATTGAGAAAAAAAGAGACTTAAAAAAAAAGAAGGACAGACATACCTTCTGGAGGGAAAGCAGACATGGACAAATGATACAGAGTGTAGAGAACCGCGGATAAACAGGTAAGAAGATCTGCACTTTTCCGTACATGCCAACTGGAAAATGACATCATGATCCACCCCCCCCCCAAAAAAACCCCCCAACAACAACAAAACAACAATAACAACACAACAAACAAACAAAAAAACACACCCACAAAACCCCCAAACAACAATCTGAAACAAAACAATACAGTAACCAAAAACAAACAAACAAAACATTAATTTAAAAATCGCAAATGCTGAGGTAGCTTTGCAAGCTCCTAAACTGAACGATAAAAATCCCATCAGGTAAATGAGTTGAGACGTAGTTGACAGCGAACCAGAACAGTAACGCAACATTTCAACAGGAGTTGAATTTTATTTCAGTGTAGGCGTTATACACCCCCATCAACACAGTTTAATCATTTAGGGGGAGGACGGCTTCGACCTTGCTTGTCAGGGCAAAGGGAAGCCTAGAAGGATACAACGTCCAAGCAGAAGGACAGATATCTGTACCTGATAAAAATTGTCACGTGTACGAGAATGGAACTCGAGTGTCCGGCATGCGACGACGAAGAGCCTAACCGCTACACCTCAGACGCCAGTAGAAGCAGAATAGAAATAATATAATAATAATATTAATAGATAGCATTTGTACAGTGCAAATTCCCGCTCAACAGCAAGCTCTATGCGCTTTACAATCTATTATTATTATTACCCCATATGTGAGAGATGTAACTCATAAAATTGAAGATGAATTTCACTTCATTTTCTATTGTCCATTTTTGTCCATCAAAGGAGGTTGTTAATTTCTCTGACTCGGCCTCGTGACAGAAATATGCAATGTTTGACCCATGATAAGAGATATGTGCACAACCTGTACTTTTCGTTGTGGAAACTTTATTTAACAAGAAAATGAGCGTTTTATATGATGTGATGTGGGCCCATGACCTTAAACACTGAATAAACTTACTTACTTACCATTATTACCCCAGCAGACCTGATAGCATTCTACTAAAACAATCTGAACTTCCGGGGAAGTATACAACTACAACACTGGAAAGAGTTGGAACAGGCTGACCGTACCAGCGCACGTACCTACAACCAACAGAATCCGCTCTTCCTAAAGCAACAACAAGTTAAGTGTAGTGAGTTAAGACAGTTCGCTACCTTCTATTAGAAGTACACAGTTCTATCTGACATTTTCGGCCGTTCTGAGTGACTCAGACCATGAGGTCAGACACCGAATGTTTTATCTGCTCTATCAAAATCGGAAGATTTTTTGGAGTTGTCATCAAGATATTCAAAGAATTGCGTTTGAAAAAGCTTGACATGTTATGAAACTCAAAATGTTTTACGCCAAATTTATCAAAACTAGGTACTGAGCAGATAGAACGTTGTAATTTCAAAGACAGGGAATTTTAGTCGAAATTGCCAAAGACATCTACTCAATTTTCTAGTATAAAAATAGATGTCTTAGACGGTGGACTTCTTACATAGAGTCATTATGTTATAAAAAAAACAACACAAGAGGACGGGGGAGGGGGAAATGGGAAGTGGTCGTTTGTACAGTTGATTGTCTTATTCAGGTGGCTGTTAGAGCAGGCTCGACTGTACATCTACAAGGTAACGGTCATCGTGGGCAGGGAAAAAGCACGGCAGACAAACAGAAACAACGTGGGGATGGTGAA